TGAGCTGATTGATTGTTATATACACATTTCAACTGATGCTCTCCAAACTTCTTCAGGTACTGCTTGTTGAACCTGGTAACTTTGATGGAAATTTGAACCAAGTGAGCCCTGTAAATAGTGTGAATGTTTCCATTTCAACATTATGTGGATCATATCTTCTACCAGAAATCTTTACTGTGTTTTGCTTACTACTTATCAGTGTCCACAACAAAAATACATATTTTCATTTATTTAATTTTCAACACCTATTATCCCCAGGTATAGGTCAAAATGTTATTCTAAGTACTTTCAAAAATAGTAACTTCATTTTCTTCCAATAGGCTTCCATTTCTGGCTCTCAGTTGCACCATGAACAGGCCTGGATAATAGGAGGTTGAACACCAACCTGATTTTTGGGCCTTATTTGCCCTATATCGTTATATATACTGTAGATAATGGCTCGAAAAGAAACCCCCAAAATTATACTAATTTATGCCAGTGATTCCCTAAAACATTTCGTGTAATTTGCTTTTTAAGGCCAAATTTCCTAAACAGTTTTTTTTTTTTAATCTAAATTTACATGCCTAATTCGAAAATAAAGAAATTTTTATAAAATCTACCGTTTTGGAGTTATCGACAATTCTAACACTTTCGCTCGAGCCCCTCAACCTCCGACATCTTATTCTCTGGGTTGAGGTGTCTACTCTGTCCTAACCGAACTTAAGGGAGTGTCCGTAGGTCCCCTGATCGTCCGTAGATTATTCGACCGGTCCACTGGTTTAATCCTGCTTCCTGCCCACGTTGTTTGGTTTGATCCAGAAAGCAGAAGTGATGTTCATCCATTCACGGTCGACTGAAGATGTAGACACTGCTGGACAGTCAGCGCTAAGAAATTTAGAATGCAGCAAAAAAAATTAATATCTGCAGAAAGCCGGACAAACAACTATTCAATGATTGAATTGTTAATGTCTTTTATGTAGCAGAAAAGAATAGTATAGAAAAGAAAAGTAATTGACGTAAAAACGCATACACTGGATTCTGGACAGAGAGAGTGTTATGATTAACTTGTTAAATCGTCACAGAACGATATACGACTCTTGCGATGGGGGAATAAGATTTCTGTGCACGGCTTAAAGTTTATAGTGGCATTCCTCCTTAACAGTAGTAGTAATATTCGTAGTAGCAGAAGCAGCGGTACTTATATCAACAGTACATGTTAGCGGACGCTTCGTTCCAATCTCTGACGTCACTTTCTCTCCTTCAACTCGACTCTCCACTGTCTAGCCCAACTCTTGTCCGGGCTAATTCTCTTCCGTCTGCCTCTTTTTCAGCATATCTCCACGCTTATATAGAAAAATCCGGCTGGTTACAACTGACCCTTGGCCCTACTGCTTCACACATGATTATCACGGGATTTTGGCTGTTTCAACCAAAATCATGTGAATTCTAAAGTTCCTTCTAGCTTACTCAGCTCTATTTCAATTTTTAATCGATAAAAATTATTTCGACCATTTCCATTGTCTTCTGATGACCTAGATCAGATTTCCTCATCAGTAAACAAAATGCTCTGATCTAATTTCGCTATTCAAATCTCCAATTACACTAAAAAAATATACGTGTGTGTGTGTGTGTGTATTTCCCAGACTCTCTCTGTCACATTTTCTCCCCTACCCATCTGTCAGTTACTAGTAAATGACACGAGCTTTCATATCAACAAAATATGAGAAAACCCAGTCCAATATGCTCCTTACTAGGGTCTACTTAAACATACGTCTCTTCCAGCATGCAATGGTAGAGTCCTCAGTTCTTCTTAGGGCTCATTATGCCCATTTACATTTTCATTGTCCTTACGACACATACGTACATGCAACTTCCGGTTAAAGTTCACTGTTTTGGTGTTCTGCAATAGAACCTTTTCATATAGTTCACTAGTTCGAGTGTTCTTCTTTTTTTTTTTTTTTTTTTTTCAACACTCCTTACCAATTATTTCAGTCTCATTACTAAAAGTAAAAAAAATTCGATTTAATTCGTAAATCTGTCCCTCCGATTTTGTCTCGCCTTCACAACAGGCTTTGTCGAATCTTTTGTTGGTTCAGGTCCTTCCACGGCAATCGTGGACTCTTCTTCAATATCAGTTGGGCGGGGGGGTCCCAATGCACACGGGTCAGACCTACCTTGTTAAAGTGCACTAACTAGAATCCCTCCTTCACTCATGCACTCCCGTGCCAGTCTATTCTGCCCGGTCGACAACACCGCACGCCTCTTCAACCACCAGCAAGGCCACGACTATCATTAGTATAATTCCCACAACGGTCGGCCAGGTTATTATAGCAACCCAATTCTCTCTCCAGCCCGAATTCGGCGTACCTATCTTATCTAACCCCGACTTTAACCGTCCAAGATCAATCTTATCGATTGGCCTTAACAACGCCGACATCTTTTCAAGCTACATCTTAGGAATCTCTCTTACAATGGTTTCCCACAAACCCGTCCATCCATTGGCATTCGTTTCTAACAAAGCCTCATTCTCTTCAAACTTCTCTTCTGCTTGGTAGTAGGGGGGTAAAGAGATAGATGGACCATGAGTTCAACAACCAATGAGTAGCTCTACGAAAAATAAAGGGGGAATAACTTATCGTAGTGGTGGGCTTCCCTTCACACACCTTAGATAATTCGATCTCTTCTTGGGTGGCCACCGCCCAAATTCCGTCAGAGACACTGGTTGCTTTAGGTAACATTACACTAGCCAACACCTCTATCTGACAATGATCTCTAATTCCCTTCTTATTTTTCTTAAATAAATCTAGTACAGACAGATTGTGACTACCTGTCACGTAAATTGGACTTACAGACCCACAGATACCTAAGGCATCATTCTTGCATTTTTTTCTGCTTCTCCCTTTGTTAATAGCATGAACTCTGTCCTGGCTAGGTTTAGGGCAAAAAAATTCCGTCTCTGCCTTGTACCTAGCCACCGCTCCTATCTTCGGCCTTAGTTTTGGATAGGGAAGGGGAAGATACATCCCCTGATAAATTTCAAAGGTACTATCTCTGTCCAGTAATGGCACTAGCACTGGTAATTTGTCATCTTCCAACAAGGTAGTACATCCCAAGGCGCTATAATACCTCCGTAACTGCTGGGTGGGGTCTACAGGTAATCTAAGGTGATGGGATAGTTTGGTTTGTATCTCCAGTGGTACTTCCCTTAATCGTTCTGGCGTTATTATACTCGGAGACAGGCGTCCCAGCGACAGCATGTCTAATTATGCTCTCACATGCTCTAACACCGTTAAAGAGACTTGTTTGACGTACCTTACTCATTACAGCTAATAATTGAAAATACCTTTGCAAAAACCCCTCTAATTTCTGTAATTCGGTTGTTATATACGTGGTTACATTTATCACTTCTTTTCTAAAAACCTGTTGATGAGAAATCAACCAATTGACACTCCCTCTATTCTTAGCCAATTCCAGCCTAGTAACATTGAGTATGGATACGCTCTCTCTAACCGACTGATCCATTGCTTGTTGTCTCTGTTTTACTACCTGTAATTTCCTCTTAATTACTCTCACTTTGTCTTCGGAGACTGTACCAAACAACACGCTTAATGCCTTTCCCATTATAGGTAATACTGCCCTCTTTTGTCTGGTCCGTAACAACTTTATTCCTTTCAAATAGTAACTCATATCCTTCCATTGTCTCTCAAGTATTAGGGATTCCTGAGCTAAGGGGTATAATATACGGTGGTATTCCGGAGTCTGTAAATAGTCTCCGGCGACTTGTGTCCTGGCTATATCTAGTTTGTCCACTTCGATCTTCAACTGACCCAGTAACTTCTCATACGGCTGCAGGTCTATCCCCAGAGTTATCAACCACTTTGATCTAGTTATAATCATTTCGCTAGTCTTCTTAAATAGAGTATTCTCACTGTGTTCCCAGGTATTAGCTACCACAACTAGCATCGTCAGTACCACGACCCTCCTCTCGTCCATGTCTGCAAAGAGATGGAGAGAATAATTCGTCTTACTCAATCACTCTCTTATTGTTTTTAGCGATACCTCAAGAGCGATACCTCAAGCACCGACCCACACCACCACCAGCGCCGTGCATGCATGGGGGCCGTCCGCACAGTTCACCAGCACTGATGATAAATGCACAGTTAGTCCCAGACCGTCACTCATTCACCACAGCCACTGTACTGGTTTCACTTAATCCTTGGGCTCAGGCTACATCACTCCCCTCAATCGCTGTTTTAGTGGTATTTCCTCATTAACACTAGGTGCTTTTTCAGCCCGCAATTTACTCTGCAATTGAGATAACGGAATTTCATCTTCTTCTTCCCTAAGGTTAGGCTCAATCCCTGCTTCCTCAGAATGTCCCGCTGGGGTCCGACTTACCTCCCTCAGGCTTCGAAGGGTAGTTGGGCTAATTTCAATCTCCTCACTCCATTCACTTTCACTCTCAGTCTCTAACCCTTCAGGTTCTACCAACGTAGTGTTCCTCAGCCTTTTCTGTTGAGTTTTTGTTTCGGCTCCTTTCCATTCTCCTATTTCAGCTAGCTTTATATTATTCGCATGCACTCTCTTTACCTGTCCGGTCAATTGGTCCTAGATCACAAAGGAAACCGAACCCGTCTGCTCCACGATCTTATAGTATGGACTCCATCTCTGGTCCAATTTACCTTCTCTCATGTGTATTTTGTAATACACTGGATCACCTATCTGGAAGGAAACTTCTCTATTTTTATTTACCCTATCGTTTTGCCTTTTCTGGGATCTTTGAATCTTCCTCCTCACCTGCGTAAAGATTTTATGCTGTTGTTCTAAAACTATTTAGTGATGATCCTCTCCTAAATACTTCCTCCTAGGTCGTAACAGATTGTCTATAGGTAAGACTACATCCCTGCCATATATCAAGTAATAAGGGGAAAATTTTGTCTCGTTCATCGAGAATCTCACAGCTGCTAACGCTTGTGTTACAAATAAATCCAAATTTTCCCTATTATCCTCTATTAGTTTAGCTAACACATCCTTCAGCAAACGGTATACCTGTGCCTTCCCGTATGTTCTCTCCCTTCCTCTCGATTTCTCGACAACCGAGAGGTGGGAGTCGGTGACCGGAGTTCAGCTTTTTTTTTTTTTTTTTTTTTTGCTCCCATTTCTGTCTAGGGGCCCTCCTGGGTGGGGTAGAGCTCGGATGACTCTCTTTTCTCGGACGAGCAACCCATTTCTCCCCTCTATTCGAGTTAGGGTTGTTCCGTTCGGTGTGGTCCATCTTTCTCCTGCGAGGACAGGTTAGTCTCCTCCACAGCGCCAACACCTTCGCTCCTTACAACTTGCCGAAAAGTGCCCGACCATACCACATGTCCAGTATCTCAGAGGTCTTACTTGCACTGGGGCCACCCCGCCTCTTACTTTTTCACGGGTGACTCAACGGCGTTTCCCAGACCCTTTTCCTTCTCGGTAGGGGGCACCAGCGTATTAACTCGCTTTATCCCCAGTTTACGGTCTCCCTCTGCCGTACACCACCGAGCCTTGTGCCCGAACTCGCCACAAATCGTGCAGTTCGGCCCCAAAGACCTTGGGTCGCCTCCATAGTTTGTCGGACAGTCGCGGGCCCGATGCCCACCATACTTGCAAGTCCAGCACACCAGCCGATATCGGCTCGGTGTGGGCTTGTGAAACCCATAACGCAGATCCCAGGCTATCCTATTGGGAACTGCTTCAGCCTTCCAGTCCTCTTCTTTCGGGTCCCGTATCTGGATCGGCTCCCGGTTCTTCTTTTTCATCACTACTTTGCTCCCCCCTGGGGGTTCCTACCTACACCCCCTCTTATTCTATCCCAGAGTCGTTCGCTGGTCCGAGCCGCCTCTATGGCTGCGGCCAGGCTGACCGGTCCCAACTTCAGAACATCGCCCCTCAGGTCCCTGTCACTCAGCGCGTCCACATACACATCAGCCAACAAGGCCTGAATAGGACCACTGTCCCGAGTCGCCAACTCCGGAAAAACTAACGCCGATTCCTCATTAGTCTCTCCTTCTTGTTGCTGCTGCCGGAATAATTTCCTGACTGCCTCAATGGCAGTACGCTGAGATCGGAAGACGTATTGGGATGGCCGAAGACGCATTCCAAAAGCTAATGTTACGAGACAGGAGGATTTCTTTAGTAACAAAGAAAAGAGTACTGAGCTATTACGTGACATCTGTCATCCTTTACGGCAGCGAATGTTGGACGGTCTCCTCAATGATGAAGAAGAGACACGAGGCGGCATAGGTATGGTTCTACAGAAGTATGCTAAGGATATCATGGACCGAAAGTGTGGGTAACGATGAGGTTTTGGAGAGGATGAAAACAAGGAGAAGGCTTATACTTAGCATCAGGAAGAGGCAGCCGAAATTTCTGGGAAACGTAATGAGAAAAGAGGGCTTGAAGAATCTGATACTCATAGGTCGAATAGAAGGAAAGAGAAACATACCTAACGGGCTTAAGCAAGTGGACGACAGAACATGGCCTAGCGGAAATAGCAAAGGGACAACACTTATTGAGAGCTGCAAGGGATAGGGCGAAGATAAGAGCCATGATCGCCTGCGTCCTGAAGGGACACGGCACATAAAAAGATGTAAAACAAAGCTAGATGAAGGGATTTAAAATAGGATAATGGGGAGAGTATTTGACTACTTAGAAAATCTGTATTCAAAATTCTCAAATTTATCTGGGCTCGAACACTGATTTCTAAAATCGGTGAGAAATGCATAGTTATTCTAACTGGAAGGCAAGTTATTTTATATTTGCTTCATTATCAATTTTTGTCATTTGGAAAAATAAAATTATTTCCAATGACATTTTTTTCTAATTCACTAGATAGATATATCAGATTCACATAATCTACTGGGTTGAACAGTTTTTGAGGTGTTATTTGAGCATGTGATTTCGTTTCATACATGACTGAAATTTTAGTATCTGTCTATATTTCTGAGATGAGGTAGATGTACATTATTCGGACTATTGTCCTCATATTCGTTGCCATATTTATCAAAAGTTTCGGTCGATGTACGCGCCGGCCTTCTTCAAGTGGTTGGAATGCCGAACTGAACCCTTTATTTCGCTCACTGGGGTAGACTGTTCTAGTTCCACGTGCCATGTCTAATGGATGTCAGTTATCTCCTGTTAATTCCCTCTCCAAGTTCTCCACCGCCTTAACTAGATATTGAACTCACACTCTTTAGGTCCTGTCACAAGATCTAACTAACGCCCTTATCCACTGTGTTATGTATCCTTGAAGACACATGACACAGTGGATAAAAGTATAGTTAGATCCAGTGACAGGACCCAAAAAGTGTGAATTCAATACCTGGTTAAGGCGGTGGAGAACTTGGAGAGGGGAATTAACAGGAGATAACTGACATCTATTAGACATGGCACGTGGAACTAGAAATAAAGGGGTTCAGTTCGATATTCCAACCATCTGAAGAAGGCCGAAGCGTACAACGGCCGAAACGTTGTGATGAATATGGCAAAGATGAGGACAATAGTCCGAATAATGTAAAGAGTGATGACTGAAATTCATTATATATATATATATATATATATATATATATATATATATATATATATATATAATCAATAAAAGGATTGTGTATATTTAGGCAGTATAATTTTATTCAAACAGGCTTGGTCAAACAATTTAGACATATACATATCATGTCGATCAGCTTTCGTTGTGATCCTCCAAGTTCGCGGATTAATTTCCCGACAGGCCTATAAAATTGATTAAGAAAATACCAAACCTCTCAAATAGTTTCTATTTTCCAAAATACTTTCCATTTCATCTGAGACCATCTGCAGAGTGTTCAGTTGTCTGTGAGTGTGTATATGTGTTTCTGTAAATTCAAAACATTTTACCGTCTATGCAGCCTTCTAGATTTCAAAGTTCACGTGTTTTTTTTTTGTTTTTTTTTTCCAGTATAAAGGAAGCAACCCTCACACACGCACACATTATATATATATATATATATTGTCGGAGTTAACCCCTCAATTTCTTAATTGTTCACTACAGCACACTCGCCCTACATTATAAATACTGAGCGATTTCTTGCCTCGCTCTCTTTCATTTCTTCATTTTCAGCGAACACATCCACAGCGTAAGCTCTCGCAGAAGATTGCGTCTTCTCATTTGTGGGAGTCGCCATGAACATTATACACACATACACGTACGTACGAACATTCACCAAAATACAAACTCTTTACGTTCACACACACAAACACAAATGTTAATGTCTTTATCCATTGTAAATTTTGTTGTTTAATACATATATTTGTTGATATATATATATCGGTCTTGTTGGTTTTCTTTACACTTCTTTATGGTGGATACAATCTCTGAATCCGCCATGTTCTTGTAGTGGACCGTCTTCTAGCAGGAATAAACGCACGTGTTCCTAATCTAACACGTAAACCCACGGCCCGCTACAAAATATATATATATATATATATATATATATATATATATATATATATGAAGTGGTAGAGCATCTTACCTCTCACAAACTACTCTCTGAAAAACAATATGGATTCCGTTTTGCCCGGTCTACCGCTGATCTGCTTACGGCAATAACTGAAAGGGTTGAATATATGTAATAGCTGAAAGAAAAGGAATGACAAACTTGCTTTGTTCTTAAAGATTTTTATACTGCTAAGTCATATACAAAATTATATACAAATATTTACACTTGTCCTACACAGAGAAACTATAACATGTATACAACAAGCAGTGTGAAAATGACAAAGAGAGACGGTATCTTATTTGTAATAATTCAAGCTGCTGGAGGATTCAGCCATGTTTTTTTCAATGTGAAAACAGCGAGGCCATATTTATATTTAAAACAGGAACTAGAGCGGACTGGATTCATCTTTTATGACTCTGATGAGGATATATTTCCAAACGGGAAAACAGCGAGTTATGCGTATTTTCCAACAGGAAGACTGTGACCTGGAGATATTTCTATATTCCAAATGGGCTTGTGTGCTGCACTGGGCAGGCTGGTTTAGCCTTGCCCATCTTCACTTCAAGCAGTTAACTAAAAACTGGCTGCTTTTGTCTCTCTATGAACTGACGTCATTCAGCGGCCTTCACGTGACCCTCGTGATTTCATATCAACCAAAGGGAGATAATTGCCTTTTGTATCCCTACAACTTTTTCTCTAAGCAAGCATCTTTAAACTTTAAAATTATTTGCAAGTATCCACAAATGAAAGATATGATTTTTTTTCCATAAATTTAAAAGATAATATATAATTTAACATTTGTAAAAGTTATTCAAACAATTTTCTTACTTTTTTTTACATTACTTATTACTTAAGGAAAAGTTATCTAACATCATAATGTAAGCATATTTTTAAAACTTAACATTTTATGACATCCACAGATAACGAATAGGATTTTTTTCAATTGATAACAAAATAAAAGTGCCAACATTTGCACATGTTGGTCAAAGAATTTCTGCCTACTTAGAAACATGTGATGAACTGTAGCTCATTTTGAGAAAGATAGTTTCAACAAAATATCAGCGGATTTTACTTGTTTAGCAATGGCTAGTTTATAGCAGAACAGGTCAGGTCAGTACATAAGCTCCAAGGAAATGTATTTATCCTCTGCATCTGATTGGTTAGAAAAGAATAATCAGTAGTTATGTGGAATGTTCTCAACTAAGGCTTCAAGGTTCATGTTTTTTAAGCTCTGTAAGATGGTTTTAATGGATCAATTTCATTGGATTATAGAAGCTTTTAATTTTAATTTACAGTTTTATTTTATCGCATTCTTTGAGCTAATGACAACACGCCAAAATTTTGATCTTATACAAAAATAATTCATATATGCACATATTTTTCAGTATATTGTACACACCAAACAGATGTGTGAAAATAATTTTAAATGTAGTTTTTTTAATTTATTCATCTTTGGCGTGATACTTACTTTTTAGCTAGTGTGTATTTTTACCAGCAATCACGAATAATCATATCAATATTTTATTTTGAAACTTTCAATTTTTATACTATTTTTCAAATAAAATATTTCATTTATTCTAAACATTTTTTTTTAATTCTGTCACTTTCTAACATCTAAGCTTGCAGTGTTTATTGTACGTCTAATGAAAAAAAAAATATATAAAAAATGTCCAAAAACTACTTAAAAAATGTTCATGAATGTAATATTTTGCATCTTAAAGAATTATTAAATTAACTACAAATAAGAAACAGCTATGAATATTTTTCTTGGGATGTTATAGGGACTGGTTTTGGTCACGTGGATTTTTGTTGTATACCTATAGTAATATTCACTAATTAAAATAATTAGAACAGAGGACACAAAATGTGACACCAAAATCCAAAGATACATTGGTGTAGCGAGAGATGTCTTTCAAAAGTTAAGCAAAGTATGAAGAAAATTTTCAATATGGAGTCCAAGATG